AGGGTCATTCGGGTACTCAAACCCCTCCACCACGTTAAGGTGGCAGTTCAAGGAGGGGTCCCTCTTTTTAAAGCATGAAAAATGTTTGTTTGAAAAAGCAATTTTAGAATATGTGCATATCTTATCTGAGGTGAATAAACACAGAAATTTCCTTAAAATTTAAATGACAGCACATCAATACAATAAAATACAGACCCAAATGGACAACTTAGAAAGGGTTTTGATATTTTTATAATAACTTTATTTTTTCATGGCAAGGTTGACATCTGCATGGAATCGCCCATATGTGAACCGGCCCTTATACAATATTTTCCTTCATGATGAAAAAAGACATTTTAAATAAGCGTGTTAACACGCTTTACATAAATAACATATTGTATCTAAATTCAAATACACAATAACTTTCGACATCCTAATTTTACATACAGATACATCTCGCATACAGACACACATCTTTACATACAGACACACAATCACACATCACACAAACGCACGCCACACACACACTCCAAGCAGGCCACACACACCCCACACACACGCACACCGCACACGGACACCGCACAAGGACACCGCAACACCCCACATGTCCGTGTGCGGTGTCGGTGTGCGGTATCTGTGTGCGGTGTGCGGTGTCCGTGTGTGGTATCTGTGTTGCAGTGTCCGTGTGCGGTGTCCGTGTGCGGTGTGCGGTGTCCGTGTGCGGTGTGCGGTGTCCGTGTGGGGTATCTGTGTGCGGTGTCCGTGTGCGGTGTGCGACGCGTGTGCGGTGTCCGTGTGGGGTATCTGTGTGCGGTGTCCGTGTGGGGTATCTGTGTGCGGTGTCCGTGTGCGGTATCTGTGTTGCAGTGTCCGTGTGCGGTGTGCATGTGGGTGTCCGTGTGTGGTATCTGTGTTGCGGTGTGCGGTGTCCGTGTGCGGTGTCCGTGTGCGGTGTGGGGTGTTGCGGTGTCCGTGTGCGGTGTCCGTGTGCGGTGTGCGTGTGTGTGGGGTGTGTGTGGCGTGCGTGGAGTGTGTGTGTGGCGTGCGTGTGTGTGATGTGCGATTGTGTGTCTGTATGTAAAGAGTGTATGTGTGCGAGATGTATCTGTATGTAAAATTAGAAAGTCGAAAGTTATTCTGTATTGGCATTTAGATACAATATGTTATCCCAATGGTCACTGTTGTTGCCGTCGACATGTTTGTGAGTTCTATCTATGAACACATTAAACAAAGTTGAGTAATTTAGCTGGATCTGATTTTTAAATGTGACCGGTCCTACTCTACATGCTGCAAGCAGGTTTGGAACGCCAGTCTAGCGTCAGTCGCTAGCACGCCTCTTGAGGCCAGGGGAGTGAGGTCCAGAAGTCTTTCTTTTTCTTTTAGCACCCTGTCTCATCTCATTCTGACTGCTTGAGCTTTGGTCAGAGGGTGTTCTGGAGCCTCCAGATCTGATCTCAGATCTGCTGTTGTCTCTGTGAGAAGGTCCAGGCTGTTCATCCACTGTGGATGTTTCTTCAAGGGATGATCCTGGAGAAGAGATGAGTGATAAACTTGAATCTGAATCAGAGTGGTGGTCGGATCTCTTCCTTTTCCGTTCTCTACTCTTTGAACTGCCAGAAGTCTTTCTTTTTCTTTTAGCACCCTGTCTCATCTCATTCTGACTGCCTGAGCTTTGGTCAGAGGGTGTTCTGGAGCCTCCAGATCTGATCTCAGATCTGCTGTTGTCTCTGTGAGAAGGTCCAGGCTGTTCATCCACTGTGGATGTTTCTTCAAGTGATGATCCTGGAGAAGAGATGAGTGATAAACTTGAAGAATCAGAGTGGTGGTCGGATCTCTTCCTTTTCCGTTCTCTACTCTTTGAACTGCCAGAAGTCATTCTTTTTCTTTTAGCACCCTGTCTCATCTCATTCTGACTGCCTGAGCTTTGGTCAGAAGGTGTTCTGGATGCTCCGGATCTGATCTCAGATCTGCTGTTGTCTCTGTGAGAAGGTCCAGGCTGTTCATCCACTGTGGATGTTTCTTCAAGTGATCCTGGAGAAGAGATGAGTGATAAACTTGAAGAATCAGAGTGGTGGTCGCATCTCTTCCTTTTCCGTTCTCTACTCTTTGAACTGCCAGAAGTCTTTCTTTTTCTTTTAGCACCCTGTCTCATCTCATTCTGACTGCCTGAGCTTTGGTCAGAAGGTGTTCTGGATGCTCCGAATCTGTTCTCACTGCTGTTGTCTCGGCAAGATGGTCCTGGCTGTTCATCATCAGTGCTGGATCCATCCATATGTGATCCTCCAGATCTCATCTCAGAGATGTTGTTGATCTGGTGAGATGGTCCAGGCTGTTCATCATCAGTACTGGATCCATCCATATGTGATCCTCCAGATCTCATCTCAGGGCTGTTGTTGACCTGGTGAGATGGTCCAGGCTGTTCATCATCGGTGCTGGACTCCCTCATCTGTGTCTCCGCACGTTCTGCCGGTTGGGCATTAACATACACAGGATAAAATGCAGGTTGAATGCAATCACCTGATCCTTCGAAAGTGACAGACCAGTAATCTGCTTTCATGGCCATCATGGAGAGCAATGGATTGTATTCGGGACCAGGTGTCAAGGGATAACGAAGAAGTTCATTTAGAGTCCTTCGAACCAACCCCAAAAAAAACCCTGGCATAATAGCAATTACATTTTGTGATACGCATATCTCTAGAAGAGTCCTCTGGACACCATCTTCTTCGATTGAAGCTCGAACTACATAGTAAGGCCTCTCTTCGATTAAACGTAACTCATCAAAATCGTCAAGAGGAATGACATCTAAAAAATAATCACGTTGAGCCATCTTAACTGTACAGTTATCTGCTGACCTATAAACTGGTATTTGATCAGTAGTACCCAGGAAACACTAACCTTTCTCAACTACTGCTGTTATGAGCCTCTGAGGTGCATCAGCTATAGTAAAGCTTTGGAATGTCATGTGATGTGATGTCATCAATGGAACCGATGAGTCATCAGTGATGCAGAGCAAGGGATCCGTTTAAAAAACAACAAATTCAGTACAGCTGTGAATGATCCAACCTACTGAAGTTATCCAGTAAGTTGTTGTTGATGTTGTGTGTGTGTTTGTGTATACACACAACATCATCAACAACTTACTGGATAACTTCAATGTAAATATATTTTGTGTATGTACAGTTCATGACATCTTAAGGCATATTTGTTCTTATATAATTTCAGGTAACTGTATTTGTTGTTAACTTGTGGTGTACTACTTTTCCAAAATACTTTTGTTACTTTAAATATCATGAAATGACACGAGAAACCAAATTTGCCTGGAACTTTTGGTATAAGTGACGTCACGATACTACGTGACGTCACGATACTAATTGACGTCACGATACTAAGTGACGCACCAGTCGTTTGCATGTGACCGCCTCCAGCGCAAGACAACTACGCATTTCGCGTCATCGCATGCGTTGTCGTGCAGCGAGTGGGTCTGTTTACAAGAAGACTGTGATGCCACGCAAATGTGCTGTTGCTGCTGTGGACAAACAGCACGTTTGAATACGCTGCCGAACGATCAAGACGTCAGGGAAAGCAGTCGGATGCAATTTATTTGCAGCATATGCAGCGCGCCAAAGTGTGACGGGGCATGTTACTGAAAGAACGAGAAGAGAGCGAGCGGCCGTGCCTTCAAACTGTCTTGCTCTCTCTCTCTCTCTCTCTCTCTCTCTCTCTCTCTCTCTCTCTCTCTCTCTCTCTCTCTCTCTCTCTCTCTCTCTCTCCCTCTCTCTCTCCCTCCCTCCCTCGCGCATATGGTTAAAGATTGGAAGACCGAAGTTTCACGTGGTGGAGCATTGTGTAGTCTACATGTGATACAAAATGATTAACGTTAATAATTTATGCATAAGCAGCACTGACGTTAGCCAATCATAACAGTATAGGCGTTAACACTGAAGTCTTAAAGGGGAAACACCCCCAAACAGACTGTTTGAATCAGAGGTGAGAAACAGGGTGGGAAAACGTCATAAATCACTACATTTTTTTTTAAATTGTACAAAAACTATAGTAATACTATAATTGCACCTAAGGGAACATAATAAAACAAAACAAAAAACCATGTCATGACCCCTTGGCAGCTACACTAGAACTTCTATACATTTATTGATACATGTTTATATAAGGCCTTTTTCATGCAGTGTTTGGTTGGGTGGAGATTTCTCACTCCTGACAATAGCAATCATTATATCCTTCCTCTCTAACATATGGAAGGAATATGATGGCAAATGCATAGTAAAATAAAAACCTGTTGCTGTAGTTTGCCAAAATAATGTCAGATAAATACTTAAACCAAGTTCAGTGTTTTGTTCTTCCCTTATATTTTAAATATAAAAATAAATAAATAAATAATCATATTTTGATGGTTTAATCAAACTTATAGGGCCATTAAAAACATAAATCCCCTCCGAACATCACCTTTGGTCACTACTATATTTGTTACAAAAGATTTCTTTTTCAATATTGAAATAAAAGTGCTGTTCTTTTGAATCAGCACTTTTATTTCAATATTGGTAATAAGAAATTTCTTGAGCAGCAAATCATCATATTAGAGTGATTTCTGAAGGGTTATGTGACACTAAAGACTGAAGTAATGATGCTGAAAATTCAGCTTTAAATCGCAGAAATAAAATACATTTGAAAATATATTCAAATAGAAAACAAAATGTAATAATATTACTATATTTTAATTTTAATTTCAAAAACATTAAAAAATATATTATTCACATTTTTGAAAGGTGGTCCACACAGTCTGATATTTGAATGTTTGTTTTCAACAGTGTTGCCAGATGAAAGCAAGCACATTTACTGTACTGGATGTAAACTGTCAAACTAACAGATGTTTTTAGATGAAATATTAATAAATATCGTTAATAATGCATGCGGAAATGATTCAGTAATGCTGAAGAAGCAAAACTGTATTGGTTGTAATTAACATATATTACTATTAGTATTCAAACATGATTAAATATTTTCAGGTTGGGACGCACTGAGCGACTGGAAGGATGTGTTGTCTGGAGGAGAGAAGCAGCGGATGGGCATGGCCAGGATGTTTTACCATAAGTACGTCACAGAAAGTACAGTATTGGCATTTTGACACTCTTTACATCCAGATTCAACAATATAGAGACCGATCCTTTCTATACATCTTTGCAAAAATCAATTGTGAAATGTAGTTTGTAAGCATGTTATCAAATATAACACACATTTATGTTCATTTTCAAATTATTTAAAGGGATAGTTCACTTTGAAATAAATTTTTGGTACCCTTTTAGAACGGTAACATTTTAGAACGGTTTGACCTAAAAATATCAAAATTGAAACTACTGTGGAAACAAAGACACCTACATCTTGGATGCCCTTGAGGTAAGCTAAAACATACTAAAAATTAATTTCAAAGTGAACTATCCTTTTAAGGCAGACACATATCATTTATAAGGTTCAGTAGACTAATAGACTAACATCTATTTAAATCCAAGTTAAGTATCAGCTATATTATTGGGGTATTTTCCTAATTGCTAGAATGACTTCCTCTTTCTGAAAGAAAAAATAACACTTTGAAGATGCTAAATTGTGGTACAGTACATGTTGGAACGCTGCTCATGGTTTCATTTAAGCCACTGAATTGATAAATATTTAATTACTGAATGTGATTAGCAGTTAGTGTCTGTGGAATCTTTACAGCTTTTTTTGCATTTGAAGCAAGCAGCTGCTTCAGGGGAGATTATTGTTGAACCACTCAGATATTTATTAAGGGGAAAGAAAGGAAAAACCCAAGTCAGAATATAAAACATTAAACAATTCAACTAGTGCTTTTAAGTCTGTTTAAAAAGTCCCCAACAACTTGTGTGTTTTAAAGCTGATAAATCTCTGGTTTATCTCTAACAGGCCTCAATATGCCCTCCTAGACGAGTGTACGAGTGCTGTGAGTATTGATGTGGAGGGCAAAATCTTTGAAGCTGCAAAGGATGCTGGGATTGCGCTTCTCTCTATTACACACCGTCCTTCTCTCTGGTGGGTTTTCAATCATATGAAAATGAAGAGCGGTTCTTTTATTGCTTGTGGAAAAAAGCATATTTATGTTAATTCAGGAACTAAGCTTTAAATCATAAACGCATAAGATTAAAGTGGTCATATGATGGAAAACAGGATTTTTTTGCTCTTCTGAAGTAGAATTTTGACGTACTATGTGTAGACATACTCTATATTCACAACACAAAACTCCCTCCCCAGATTATCCAACAAAGCTGCAATAACGGGTTGTTAAAGGAGCTGAAAGCCCAGCATTACATCAGAAATAGGCGTCCTGAGAGAAAACACCTGTCTCTGTGATAGCACTAGAGGGAAAAAATTTCAGGGAAGCGGAATCAGAAAACTAGCCACCTAATGTTGCTCTCTGCCTATGATTCATGTCTTATTTTAGGTTTTGGAGAAAGGGTGTGTGGAAGTTACCAAAATGATAGAAGCGAATCTTTTAAGAGCACATCAATATATGATCGCTTGAAAGAAAGAAATACTTTTGATTATTAAAGATGCATTCAATTGATTAAAGTGACGGTAAAGGCATTTATAATGTAAAAGATTTCTGTATCAAATGTTGTTCTTTTGAACTTTGTTCACCAAAAAGCAGCACAACTGTTTTCATCACTGATCATAATCAGAAATTTTCCTCATATTATAATGATTTCTGAAGGATCATGCGACACTAAAGACTGGAGTAAAATTCAGCTTTGATCACAGTAATATATATTGAGCATGTTCACCCTGCAAATTAGTCCAGGCTAATTTTAACAATAGAGGTTATTTGCATATAGACTTCTTGAAAGTATGGTAGTATAAAGAAAACGGGTGAAATTGGTCTTCAAAAACTAAATAACGCCTTATAAGAGGATTTTATAGAAAATAAATAATAACTATACACTAGACGTGTATAATACAGCAGTTTTATGCTCGTAAGACTGTCAAACTTTCCAGGAATTTAGTGGAAAAGCCCATGTGAGGACACTGCACAGCTTTAAACTTTGTTTCATCCAGAGGTTTCTCTACCAGCATCTTTGCATTACTTTAAATGCAAATTACACGCGTTGACCTGAACTTCCTCTGCTTACAGGAAGTACCACTCCCACCTGCTGCAGTTCGACGGTGAGGGCGGCTGGCGCTTTGAGAAGTTGGACGCCTCCACGCGTATTTCCCTGCAGGACGAGAAGCTCCGACTCGAGACCCAGCTCTCGGGAATTCCCAAGATGCAACAGCGGCTGGTAGAGCTGTGCCGCATTCTGGGGGAGGACAGCAGCCTGCCGAACCCAGGGGACGTGGAGGAGGACGACAAGATGGAGGAGGAGGAGGACAGAGATGTAGTGGCTGGTGGAAAAGAGAAAGACCTTATGGAGTGATTTGAAGATAAATGACGGATGTATTCGAGGCCAGGTGTGTGTGTTTGTGTGTTTTGTGTGAATATATCTACCCACACTTGCTTTAGATGCATGCATTGAGTTATCAATGGGTGTCTAATAGGGTTGGGAGTTCTTTTTTTTTTTTTTAAATAACACAACGGGAAACATTTTAAAGTTAGGCTGTGAATCTTTGGGTAGATAGCGAATCTATTTGATTCACGATTCATAGGTTTTCGATTCGATTCAAGAATTTTAGCAAATTCAGGACAATTCGATTCGAGAAGATTCACATTAAAATCCGATGCGATTCGCTTAATTAAAAAAAAAAATTGATTGATAAAAGCCTCTCAGACAGAAAATGATTGTAGTATCCCTTAAAACTAGGGCTGTCAAGCGATTAATCGCAATTAATTGCATCCAAAATAAAAGTTTGTGTTTACATAATATATGTGGGTGCACTGTGTATAATTATTTTATATATATAAATACACACACATGCATGTATATATTTAAGAAATATTTTCATGTATATACTGTATATAGATTTATATATAATTGATATTATATATAAATATAAATATTTTACATATTAATACATTTTTTTTTTCTTAAATATACATGCATGTGTGTGTATTTATATATATATATATATATATATATATATATATATATCCAAAATAATTATACTCGGTGCACCCACATATATTATGTAAACACAAACCTTTATTTTGGATACGATTAATCGTTTGACAGCCTTACTTAAAACTCATCTTTGATAATCAAAATGACATATTTAAACACTTTTTTCCTGTGAAAATACTTTTATCATGCCTTAAAATAGCTTGAGTGTAACTCTATACCTTACTTTAATTTAGTATATTTAGAATAATGAATATGCAAATTAGCTCAATCACAAGAGCTCAGACTTCCTGATCCACTCGGTCAACTGTAGTAAACGCTACTGGTTTAATTCAGCCATGGATGTTTGAAGCAGAAACTGATTCAGAAGGAGAGAAAGAGCGAATTATACAGGGTCGTATACGAGTCGATTTATGCGTTTTATGTAGAAAACACCTATCATGGAAAGTCAGAGCCCTGCCCCGCATGTTGACTGGTTTGGTACATGTTCCTGATGGTAGGAAACCGTTTTTTCAAAGGTTTCAAACCATTTTTGAGATGGTCTTTGGTACACTGCATTTTTAAGGAGAAAATACTCAGCAATAGTGTTGACTGATAAATTTTTATTTTTTTTTACAATCATTATTCATTCTTTCTTACTCAAAGAATCATTTACAGTAATAATTTCTCTAGTATGCAGACAGAAAAAGCCCAGTGAACACTTCGAAGCTTTTGTTAGCTGTACAAAGACAGTGTGGTTTGTTTTTGTTTATGCATTTGTGTGTGTGAAGGTAGCACTCGAGTCTGGGTGGGTTTTTGGGGGGTGGGAGACAGCTGCCAACTCCACCAGGTGCGGTCGATGATGAAAGCACCTATGAAAGCTGTTCCTCATGCTCGTTATCGCTGTTCTCTGAAGAATTCTCCGGAAATCTGCGGGACCCAGGCGGCGTGTGTGTCTTCAGGGAAAAGGGTGACTGTCGTGTTTGGGCTCTGCTGTTTTGTATCAGTTCAGCGGTGGTATTGTCAAACTTGTAAGGAGTCGCCAGGAATGCTGTAGCTCAAATCCGTGCCATGTTTTAATGCACAATCAAAAAGGGCCAATTTGTCCTCAGTATAGATGGGAAACGTCTTTGCTTTCATCCAATTCTAATTCATATTTAGAAAGTGACCACAGTCTACATGCATATCAATTTCAGGATTGATTATATGTAGGGCTGTCAAACGATTAATCGCATCCAAAATAAAAGTTTGTGTTTACGTAATATACTGTATGTGGGTGCACTGTGTATAATTATTTTGCATATATATATATATATATATTAATACACACACACATGCATGTATATTTAAGAAAAAAATATTATTTATATATAAAATATTTATATTTACATATATAAATCTATATACAGTATATACATGAAAATATTTCTTAAATGTATACATGCATGTGTGTGTATTTATAAATACAAAACAATTATACACACTGCACCCACATATATTATGTAAACACAAACTTTTATTTTGGATGCGATTAATCGTTTGACAGCCCTACTTTTATGTACAGTATGCCTCATGTAACCTTGCAAACCTGTTTGCCGTAACTTAGTGTGTATTCACTCAGGGTTATATTGGACCAAAGCAAGTGAACCAGTGGAGTTTTCCTGGTGTGAATACACCATTAAGCTGCATACATGTACAGAAGTGGCCAAAAGTGACATCTTCATCCTTTATTTAAACATTATTTAAAATTTTTTGAAGATTTTGCAAGCATATGGGTCAGTTGTGCTTGAAAGTAATTATTTTATATGATAACGCAATGAAACATGCCACATTGTGCAGACATCTTTTTTTTCTTTCTTTTTTTTTTTTGGCCAGGCTCTCATACAAAGAAATTTTGAACACGTGAAAAAACAAGAGAAAACCAACAATTTTTAAATAAAAACTGATTATAATGTAGTCAATGTATACTTTTTCATGACTGAGAGCTTTTTGTTTTAATATACTTTTTTTTTTGTTGACGAATACTTTTATTAGACAATACTCGAACTTGTACGGTCATAAAAAAAAGCGGTGTAACAATACCCTCACGTCACGATTCGATACATATCACGATACTGAACTCACGATACGATATTATTGCGATACTCCAAGAAGATATATGGTAAAAGGTTAACAAATAATGTACTGTTGTTGATTAAAATGCAAAGTTTGATATTACATTGTGGGTTTAAATGAATAGGCTTGGACTTGTAAGCCAAGGACAACGGTGACACCAGAATAAAAATATTTTTAATATTTTTAAAAACAGAATTATTTTAGATGAATATGCTTGCGCTCTGTCACTGACTAGATTTAAAACAATATAGGACACTTTTACTGGTAACATCAGACATTTGGCATTATCAGGACCCACATTGCATTATTATACATTATAATCAACATTATGTATAGTAGTTTAATGTAGTACTGACACTAAAACATTTTCTCACACAGTATTTTTAATTTTGGGGGAACTATCCATGATACAGTACGTATTGTTGCATTTTTGTATTGCGATATATTGTGGTACGACATATTGTTACACCCCTAGTATATAGGAATATGCCAATACACATCTTTTCTGTGATCATGTGCATGTAAATGTGGTCAATGAGAAATTTCTCATTTTAAAATGTAGCTTTTTTTCTTTTCTTTAAACAATCAGCGAGAAGCACCTTACAAGGAAATCTTTCCAGTCTAATTAAATGTCTTTTTATCTTCATAAGACAGGCATCAGTTTCACCTCGATCTCTAATTATGTCAATTGGAGGAGATTATGGTTTTCTAGTAATTCAACTTTTATGCTCTAATTTTGTACAAAAAGCCAGAGGGTAGATCTGATATGAGTTTTTATAACAGAAAAACAAGGGCTTGATTCTGTCGTTCTGAGCACAGGGCCTGAAGGAGCGCCCATGGACACATGCTGATTAAATCAGCTCTGATTCAGCCCAAGGTGATGCCGTCTGAAATGTGTGTGTGTGTTAATTGAAGGGTGATGACCGCTAGATTTAACCAGACCTCTTCCAGCTGAGGTATTTCTTTAAAGTGTCCTTAGAATTTCAATCCTTTCTGTAACATTTCAAAGTGCGTTAGTCTCTAGTCATGTGCTGACTTCAGAAGGTCAGTCACTTGGAAGACGTTTGTAACATTTAATCACTGCTTTAAAAAGAGATGTCCATTCAAAAGGAAAATCTATCCACAATATTTGTATGACATTGAACTTCATAATGTCTGTATTTCTTCCTAAAATATTTCATAATGTGAGATTTTGCACGTAATGCACAGATGATTTTGTATCTTGAACCACTGATCTTTTCATTGCAATGATGATTTGTAAGACATTTCAAGCAAACTCTTTTGTGTTGTGTTTTCTTATGATACAAGCCATTGCAATGCATGCGATTCAATTTGGACCCTTTGCACATTTGCCTGAATTAAAAAATGTATCTCTGAAATCTAATAAAACATTTCCTATTGAAAACCTCTCTCCGTCCATGTGCCTTCTTTTATTGCATATGCATTCAGAAAGGAATTGCAAAGTTGGTTCAGTGCAAGATAGCAGAACGTAAATTGCATTCGTTTGCCTAATACATTTTAGAGTTATCCTCGGATCCTCATTGCATACGTTATATTTGGGCTTATGGAGCATATTTGTCGACAGACAGACGAGCAGATTAATAGTGGGACAGATCAGCCACCAATTTGTTTTTCTATTGATAAACAGACGTGCAGTAATGGCTGGATGGACAGAACGAGAGAGAGATTGCAGGAATTGGATGGATTTTTTTTAAAAACGTTAAATATGTTAACACTATGCCACAATGTACATGTTTTCTATGCTACTCGTTTCAAGTATATATTTAGAGTAAGGAATGGGACATAGTTTCACTTATAAATTGATTATTTGCACAAGGCAATAAATCATTTTAATTCTGGAATACATAACACATCAAAATCCGAAAAAGGCCCCTCTGTCTCCTTCCTTTTTTTGTATCCTTTCTTTTTATGGCATTGTGCAGCCAAGCAACAGAATACTGAATTGCCTGAATAATGAATTGAACAAATTATTTTTATTGCTATTATAATTACCATACACGCGCACACAAAATAATTAGTGGGAACAAGGATTTGGTTTCACATTTGAGGGAGGGAGAGCATCGGAACATGACAAAGTCGCATCGATTTTATTGATTTATTCAATAAATATGTTTTTTTTGACAGGAAAGCTGTGCACATACAGGAATATATATATATGCAGTATCTTACAAAAGTGAGTACAGCCCTCACATTTCAGCAAACATTAATATATCTTCTCAAGGGACAATACTATAGAAATGAAACTTGGATATATTTTAGAGTGGTCAATGTGCTGCTCGTATAGCAGAATATATTTACTGTCCTCTGAAAATAACTCAACATACAGCCATTATTGTTAAAATTGCTGACAACAAAAAGTGTGTATACACGATAGATAGATAGATGGATGGATAGATAGATAGATAGATAGATAGATAGATAGATAGATAGATAGATAGATAGATAGATAGAGACATACAAAAGATAGATAGATAGATAGATAGATAGATAGATAGATAGATAGATAGATAGATAGATAGATAGATAGATAGATAGATAGATAGATAGATAGAATTGCAGTCGTGTCCATCTCTTACCGAGGGGTGTCGCTGTGGTTCTGTATAATTTACCGCACCGCTCCCTGCCTCACTTTCATTCCTATTAGAAATTACTTTCAGCTTGAGTGTTTTAGTGAGTCTGTCAGTCTGTCTGTCAGTGTTTCTGTCTATCTGTCAGTCAGTCAGTCTGTCTGTCATCCACGTGTTGCGCTGCGCGTCTCGCGTCCTGTCGGTTCACCGCGAAGTTTCGATGCTCCGCGAGAAACACCAGCAGCACGGACCGGCACACACACATCAGATCAGAGCAGAGTCGCGAGCGGACCATGTTGGACACACAGTAACCGACACCAGATTGTGCTGAAGTGTTTCTGAAGCAGGTCAGAGGGAAGAAACGCTTGAACTGCGGAAGGTAAGATACATATGAGTGTGACGTCACAGCCTTTGATGTTACCTTTGTTGTTGATGTGTGTTGCATGTGTTTACAGTCTTACACCCGCGAGCCCGTTTAACAATGATCAACCGAGCGAAGAAAGCGTTAGGATGCGAGTCGTTAGGCTCAAACTTGGTTTGCTTGGGTACATTATTGTTTTTGACATGGCTTTTAAAACTTGCAGATGGGACATGCCATGCTAGTCAACTAAAACTACTTTTAACTTGTCTTTGTTTATTCTTGGATTATTATTATGTAGTTTCTGAGAATATTAGTACTTTTAATCTTCTGATGCATGGATGATTAAATCTCATTTTGTTTAAAAGCAATAATATTACCATTATATATGCTTTTCCACTTTCACATCAGACATTTTTAATTTAATTTAAAAGTCATATGTAATTATAGGAGATAGGGTCAAAGGTGATCACCCATGGTGGTTTAGATGTAACATCACACCTTGAATGGTTAAAAGTGCTGATAAAGATCGGGTTGCTGTAGTGGACACCACATCAGAGGGTTTAAATGAATCTGTCACACCACACAACTTAAAGCTGCGTTACATAATTAACATTTAAAAGTGTTTCAAAGAAATTAGTTGCAAGACCTAAATATTGAGTTGCTTTTATATGTCCATATGCAAATTAACATAAAATCTTGAATGCATATTAGTTGCTGTCCATGTTTTGCAGAGCCTCTCAGATGAAGAGCTTTATTGAATGTGTCATGCTTGATCGGCTGCTCTGTAAGGCTCTTGCATTGGGAATAGTTTGCATTCTTACACGCCCGGTGGCTCCAAGTGTTTTTTCAAGCTCTGGTTCGTTCATTCATGATAAAATGGCATATCTCGTGGAAGTAATTAGGCAGCATCAAAGCCATAGAGATCTTGTTATTTCAAACCTCTGAATCAAGCTTTGGTGTGTCAGCGTTTGACTCTTCACCTGTCAGTGTGTGCAGCAGATGTGTGTTAGAAGGTCCCTTATAAGGAATGAGACACTTAGTTCAGAGAGAAGGCAAAAATGGATCTGTCTGAATGGCAGATGTGTGCCGTTGTCACACTGATGTGTACTGTTAGCTACTGTACAGAACAGAATGAAATTTGTTATATTTAGTAGACGGTTTACCAGTGCAGAACTGTCATGATGCTAGCTAGGGTGTTGTTGGCAGTTGCTAAGACGTTGCTAGGGTGGTACTACAATTCATGATATGGACCAGACAGACAGATTCAAATATAGATAGATAGATAGATAGATAGATAGATAGATAGATAGATAGATAGATAGATAGATAGATAGATAGATAGATTGATATAGATAGATTCAGATAGATAGATCGATAGATATCCCGATAGATTCAGTATAGATAGATAGATAGATAGATAGATAGATAGATAGATAGATAGATAGATAGATAGATAGATAGATAGATAGATATGGAAAGATTGAAAGATTCAGATAAATTCAGATAGATAGATAAGTAGATAGATATAGAGAGATAGATTCAGATCAAGATAGATAGATAGATAGATAGATAGATAGATAGATAGATAGATAGATAGATAGATAGATAGATAGATATGGAAAGATGGATAGATTCAGATAAATAGATAGATATAGAAAGATATATTCAGACCAATATAGATAGATAGATAGATAGATAGATAGATAGATACATAGATAGATACATAGATAGATAGATGGATAGATAAATTCAGATAGATAGATGGATATAGATTCCGACATAGATGATAGATAGATAGATGATAGATAGATAGATAGATAGATAGATAGATAGATAGATGCATAGATAGATAGATAGATAGATGGATAGATCAATTCAGATCAATTCAGATAGATAGATGGATATAGATTCCGACATAGATGATAGATAGATAGATGATAGATAGATAGATAGATAGATGCATAGATAGATAGATAGATAGATAGATAGATAGATAGATAGATAGATAGATAGATGGATAGATCAATTCAGATAGATAGATGGATATAGATTCCGACATAGATGATAGATAGATAGATCGATCGATCCAGATTAATTCAGATAGATGGATAGAGATTCCGATAGATAGATAGATAGATAGATAGATAGATAGATAGATAGATAGATAGATAGATAGATAGATAGATAGATAGATAGATAGATAGATAGATAGATTATTCCATATATGGATGTAGATTCTGATATATAGATGGATAGATTCTGATATATAGATAGCTGTTATAAACTACATGCTAAACTAAACTACATACTACTACATCGTCTCATTGGTGCTTTTAGTAACTGTGCCGTGGTTTTCTTTGAAGTAACTAATTGAATGATGTAAATCCCGTGGAATATTATAAACATTCAGTGCCGTGGTACACACACAGGTACACACACCAGTCCACAGCATCACCACCTCAGGACTTTATCTAAGGCAAGCGGGTCTAAAGGTTAATGCACACATTATGAGAGGAAATTGAGCATATAATAAGTGCACTGTCACTTTAAATAGAAGCATCTGCTAAATGACTAGTTATTTAGTATTGTGCTTGATCCATGAGTTTTGAACAGTCTTCATCTCAGACAAAAGCTATTAATGATAGTCTTGCTGGAGGATTCAGCAGCGTCGCGGGCGCTGAGCAGATGTGCTGCTGGATCGAGCAGGGATGTCTTCGAGCATTTTGGCTCATTTTCACCAAATCAACACCGTGGTCGGTCCTTCACACTCCGCAAGCGTGCACGAACATGGGTAGAGTTCATCAATGTCAGAAACACTCTCTCGCTCTCTCACTTTTGCGTTTCCACATTATGCATCCACACATGACTGCCTATATGAAAACTGTCAACAGTATAACAACAGAATAATTGCTGTTTTGTTCCACTGAAATGATTCTCTTGTTTTCTCAATAGCTGCCTTTCTTTCTTTCTTTCTTTCTTTCTTTCTTTCTTTCTTTCTTTCTTTCTTTCGATGGATATTTTTTCTAATTCTTCAAGTAATCCCTCTCCCTCCTGTCGTTTCTCTCTCATCCTCTCGTTTCCTTCGTTCTTCTTGCGGTTTAGGGGATTTTCTGTTGAACTGATTAGTCTGTGTTTCGTGTTAATAATCTCTAATCTACGCCCCTCTCCCCCACTCTCATGTGCTTAGCACTACAATACCGAGTAATGAGGCCCGTGTGCACTATATAGTGCTCGACTAATATAGGTTTTTTAATGACCATTAGTGCCGACATCTAGAGAGCAGGGTCACCCGTGGCCTATATGTTGACGCAAAATGACCACTTTTTGAGCCCAACCAACATGACATCATGACTTTTGCGTAAACATATACGCCACTTTCGAGTCAGGTGGCGTGTTATCTCTACGCATTTTGAGCTATCTGCGTGTATACGCGTATATGTCTACGCCATTAACGTCCGCGTCAGTCCGCGTGTCCGTACACGCAGTCAAATCTCCAGTCATAAATGCCATTAACCCCAGTGACGGTTAAGTTTAGGGATGAGGTTGAGGTAAGTCATATCTTTTTTTACCTAGGATGGTAAGGGAACAGTCATAAATGCCATTAACAGTGACGGTTAGGTTTAGGGACGGGGTTGAGGTAAGTCATATATTTATATAACGTTAAGTCAACGGCGTTCATAAACACGCTGAAAGGCGATTATGCGTCTTGATAGCACGCCAAAAATGGAAATACGAATTGGCGTGTCATACACACGCTACTTCATGAGATCAGCCTGGCCCAACAGTATTTACCAAGGTTGGTGTGTCGAAAGAGTGGAAACTTTGAGATACTTGCTAGACCTTTATTCCAAATATAACAGCCTCATGACATATTGAGTAATCAAACGCACTACTAACCCCATGATCTTGGTGATTCAGATGATTTTGATATCTAAATTTGCTTTGCCAGGAACGGAGGGAGTAGGTGGATCCTGTTTTGCACAAATTGAACCAATCATATTAGAGAAATGATGATGAGATGATCATAATTAGTATGTCATGTTATTTTTGTTGTGTTATGTGATCTCTATCCTATATCAACTTCTGTATTCGTCTTTACTGGTGAGATTCTCTGTGGTTGTATGAGAACTCCCGGCCAATAAAGGGGAATTCAGTCAAGTTAGTTGAGCACTAGAGACTTCATTTTTCCAAATGGTAGTGTCCAAATCCGCCATTTCCATCCAGCATTTTTTATGCGTTATTTCACATAAATAGTTCTTCTGTGGCATTGCTGTAAAACTACAACTTAAAGGGTTAGTTCACCCTTTCCACGACGCATGCGCGAGAATTGCGATCTGAAGTAGTGTAAGCAGATCGCAATTCTCGCGCATGCGTCGTGGAAATCTAAGGAAGTCTCGTTCTGGCCTACAAGGAACAAAAGGAATAGTCGAATAAACTCGTTATTTTTGTTTGTTTTTTCGCACAAAAAGTATTCGCGTCGCTTGATAAACATATAGTTGAGCCACGGTAGTCACTTGGGATATTTAAACATTTTCTTCATTGACTTTCTGGGCCGTCAAGAGGCAGTCCTTTAGGAGCCAATGTGGTAGTTATATTATACAGCTCTCAAATTTAATCAAAAATATCTTCATTTGTGTTCCGAAGACGAACGAAGGTCTTACGGGGTTAGTACAGCATGGGGGTGAGTAATTAATGACTTAATTTTCATTTTTGGGTGAACTAACCCTTTAATTTCTTTTTTAAAGAATGCATGCATTTTTAGCCACTGTGCTACATCTCAGTGTCCTGCACCAAGTTAAAGGTATAGCGGAGGATCTTTCCGAATTTTAGGGAAGACCCGCCCTCTCCAATTTAAATAAAAATAAAAATGCACATGCACAAACACAACACTCTTGCTCCCGAGAGGGAACGTCTATTACGCCTTGCACAATTATGTTGCAAATTCTAAACTAACTCAAAAATATTCATATAAAAGACAACATGTCAAATGCCCTTCCGTGTTTTATTTACTTATTATA